CACAGCAATGCATGTACATTTATATCGTTTCAAATCTCTAAGAGCACTCATGAGTGAGCATGCAGGTAGTGAAGTCAGCTTACAGGCCTTAGTTGCTTCTAAGGAGAAAAGTGATTCCAAAATAGGAACATTTAACAGTACCATTAGACTAAACCAAGAGTGGCCTCTGTCCTAGACCCACTCTATGGAGATCCCTGTTCTGACTTTCCTGTGGCTGTGGCCCACCCTGTCGTGAAAGGAGTCAACTGGGACAGGTGGATGTACCTTCCTGGAGCCTGGGTTTTCCTCCCGCCCTCCCAGATCATACTCCTGTTATATGAGACCTCAGAATTCCCCGCCCAAAGACTCTGAGTCCCCTTCCAGGCCTGTGTAGGTCTCTTTTCCTAGTCCACCCTGCAGAAAAAAAGAAGGAATAGCCAACAAGGGGCAGCTGTTTGCAAAGGTGGACCAAACCTGATATTGGCCTGAGGTGTCTACAAGCATAGCACAAGGTTATTCATAGCATAGGATGGGGAGTGATACGTAAGAGAAGTGGCCTAGGGACCAAAGGCTGGGCCAGGGGCTGACTGTGTCTATGTTACCATTTCCTGGCATGGGACTAGGAGAAACCTGAGAATTTTAAATTTAAAACCAGCCTTCCAAGTTGTTACCAAGATATACCGGGGTGCCAAAAATATGTATACAAGTGGACACTTTGGTTAACGTTGCTCAAGCAGTAGTTCGCCGTAATCAGAAGTGTCTGGATGCTGATGGTAACCACTTTGAGCACCTCTTGAAATTGCAGAAGTCAAATGTGACTTGTATTCATCTTTTGTTATCGGTATATACTATTATAATTTTAATAGTTTTCCTTTCTTAAAATGTGTATACATTTTTTTGGCACCCTCTGTATTTATCACCCTAGGTGGATAGAACAGATTTTACTTATAGCTTGATTCATAATTTTTTAAATATTTAACATAAGGTACCCTAGGCCCTCCAAACGTTAGGGTTGGGCCTGGCAGCATATCCTTTATGTAAATAAAACTGTGGGTTAAAAAGAAAGAACCTTGGTGGTCATAACCTAACACCGACTTCCCTTGAAGCTGCCTTCAACAGGAACCCATGGCATTAGTTTATAATGTCACACAAGCACTCCTTAATTTTCATTGTACTACCTCTACGTTTTGGAAATTAATTGGAGGGATAATGTGGGTTAGGATGTGGAAACATGTTCTCTTTGTACCAAGAAACCCTTCACAACTAGTGTGAATCAAGTCTGAAGTGCCTGTAGTATCATCTCACAGGGCCAACATACTTGTAGAAAATCTCTTATGAAAGTACATTTTAGTACAGTGATGGTGAAAAGCAGAAAAAAATTTCTCTGAATTGAGGAACGTGCTCATCTCAAACAAGGGCTATTTCTTTATCAAGAGGAGCAGAGATTTAATTATCTTAACCTGTGTCTATGAGCAAATACACCAGAAAGACAATGGCCAGGCCAGAGCCACCAGGGCTGGGCAAAGGAGAAGTGTCGCGACGTGGCCAGCAGGGGGCGCGGTCACGCTTAGTCTGTGCTGGGGGATCTACACCCAGCCTGCTCTGTGGTTGGGGCTCCCAGCCTAACTCTTTTCTAAGCAAATAGCCCTGTGGTGGTGGGCTTCACTGAAGAGGGCAGTGTGCTGAGATTTCTTTCCTCATGTCTACAGGGCCCATTTTAGCTCTTGAAATGTGTTAAGAAATCTTGAACTTCTATTTTCTTCTCTTTTCCCACTTCTAAACTCTTTAGGAAGGCTCGTCTCTAGTTATAAGGCACTTTGTAAGCGCAACTTCCTACAGAGGTTCTCTGAAATATTGACAGACGCATTCTGGTCAGAAGGAGCACTTCCTGGTCTAGGAGCTTTATTTTCCTGATAAAGAAATCCAGTATGTCAATCATGAAATCCAAAGAGAAAATCCCGTAAGCTGGTAGTCTGTCTTTCCATGATTCTTTTCTGCTTCCTTCCTTGAATGAATATTTTTGAGCACCTTTTGTGGGATTGTGTTTGGACCACGGTTATAAACAAAGTTGCATTTCCTGAGGAGGATGAGGGGCGGGGTTGCGGCCCAGAGCAGCAGGGAAGGAAACCAGTATAGGAAGCTAATGAGCAGGGACCCCCAAGGGAAAGGGTTGTGGCCCTGGGCTGCTGGGTCAATAGGCACTTCTCTCAAATGCAAGGGGAGAAAGGAACNAGGATTGTTTTTGTTTGTGTGTGCTCTATTCTAACCTCTTATTCCCCGAAGCCCTATCCCTTTCACTCTTGTGGTTTTATAGATCATGAGGTTCTGCAGAAATATATATCCTGTTGTCATATTAGAATGGCAATGCTGGTATTAAAAATTAAGAAGTATCTATGTTATCCTTTTCATTTATACCACTATTGATCTTGCATTTACAGTAAACTTCATTGCTCTTTCTGAGTTCTTTTTTCCACTGAAAAATGTGAAGTGGTGAGATGGGGAAGCTGAGGAATCTTTTTTTCTTGCCTAGTAGGCCTTGAATTAAAAAAAATTTTTTTTGGACCAATTCTATCACTTTTCTCTAGGACCTGGGCGATGATCACAAATAATTTCTTGTTACTTGTAATGAACTTCAGGCAAAAAAGTCATTAGTTTGTAAATGCATTTAAATTTAATTCTTGCATTGAAGGTACCTTGCATAAAAAAAGCATAGAAATGGAGAAATAATGAAGGACTCCAAAAGACGTAACTGTCATATTCATCTAGGATTGTATGCCATTTCCACAAAATAAGAGTGCCATAGACATACACTACATTTTCCTCTGTGAAAATTTCCCAGTCAAAAAGAGTCCTTAAAAATGTCCATTATTTTCAATTCTTACCTTTATCCAGATTTCCAGGAGACACAGCATTTAAATCACCAAACTGCAAAACAACAGTCATTTGTGCAAGAGTTACTACCAGGCAAAATAAAATAATATTCTCAGTCCGTGGTCAAATCCCACACTATGACTTTTTAAAACTACGAACTAGTGACCGTTCTGCTCTCTAACTACAAGGGCCACATAATTTTCTAATCAAACTTGTCGAATTTGAACAGTTTAAACTGTGTCACAATTTAGCTGTCTTAGCCTCTTTGCAAAAGGATAACAATTTTCTCTGCCTTCCGTGCTTCATTTTCCTTTTATTATTTCAACTTAGCAGTGAGGAAATAAGCGGCCTGAATGAAGAAGAATGTGGTGGAATAAATTTGGAAAAGCCCGGAGGTAGCAGGCCATGTCAGCTCCGCCCCCAGGCGCAGCTCATGAATCCACCTGGAATCTATATTGGAAAAACAGGGTCCAGCCGCTTGGTTGAATTCTGTTTTTCAAGCTTTTATTAGTAGAAATGAAAAACATAATAGAAGCCCCAAAGTTGAGGGTATTTATTGCCCCACAATATTTAATTTCACACTTCTCTTTTTGTAATTTGCTGTTCTTATTTTACTAAGGGTCCCACTTTAAAAAAGAAAGGCATCTGATTGTTACTAATGCAAACAAACAAACAAACAAACAAAGAGCTTACGACAATATGAAACAATTAATAACCTTCAGCTTAGACTTCATTTTCTACCTTGGTTCAAGAGCTTGATGACAATTTTACAGTGAGAAAATACATTTTGAGAGTCTCGGTGTAAACAAAGATGGGTAAACTACATAAAAAATTGAATAGCAGAGGTAACAAAGCTAACTGGAAAAAGGTGAAGTGAAACCTAAACTCATCCACTTTTTAAATGGTAAATATTACTTTTTTTTAAAGCTGAAGATTCAGAATAAGTCATTATTAGGAATTGAGATTTCTCAACAGACTTAGAAAGGGTGAGACAGAAATTCTACTTACATTCGGAAGTTTGCTTATAAAGAGTTCCATGATAGGAGTATTTTTTTCATCTACAAGGTATGTCTATAAAGTAATAAAACTGATCTTATTTTGCAAACATGCACACATTTTTTTAACCTAAACATGTATTGNAAAAAAAAAAAGTCAAGTCATTTTTTTTTCAGCTTCAGTATCTAACTATAACAGCCCCACTCAACAGCAGACTGCATCTGTGCAGTGGTCCCAAATACAGAATCAGTAGTCATTAAACAGAGGAATTGGTATGCAAATAATAGTTAAAATTCAATGTTTAACGGAAGCTTGCATTAACATGGTTTAATAATTATGTACACAAATTATGTACATATTAGCATAATCTCTTGCAATTCTGTCATTTACTCTGAACTGATAAATGCACAGCTCAATTTTTCTTCAGAGAAAAATAGATGACCTTCCCAACCCTCTAGCACTAGAATAAAAATGCTCTGTATTCTCTTTCCATGCTCCAAAATGTTATCAAAATAGTGTCTTGTGGTTCTGTCCCATGAAAAGCACCTTTCAAAAGCAAATTTGATGCATCTGCTGCCAAATGGGCATGCCTCCAGTGTAAATCAAAGAAATTCATTTCTTTTGATATTTCACAGAAGTGCATCTAATTAAAAATTTACACATGAAATCATACACCAAGACTAACAATCAACAATAAAATATTTTAAGCTACAAAATGTAAATTACTTTTAATTATAAGAAAACAAAAACATTAAGTGTTGTAAAAATCCTTCTTGACACCTGAAACTAAGGAAAAAAAACAAAAAACCTCTCATTATTAAGAGACAAATAATTTGTTTATGTTAAAAAAAAAAAAAAAAGACCTGGCAAAATACATACACCCATTCCATTTCACAACTCCAAAAGGTAATGATCAGCACAGAGAGAATTTGACAACAGTCGTCCTTCAGGCTTATTTAAATTTCAACGTAAGCCCAATATCAACAGGGTGAATGTTAGCTGGAAAAATATGCTTTAATATTCTTTAGACTGCAGTGTAGGTATTTCCTGTAGCGCTGCACTGTCTGATAGTCTGAGTGCTTGTGACGATGTGCTCACTGTGAATCGGATTCAGGAGGCTCGGTTGCACGCTGCTCTCGAGAACAGGCTGCATACAGCCCACCGGAAATGCCTGGTTCAGATCGGTTTTCTCTCTTTTGGCTTGAGGTTCTGAAGAATCATCCAGTTCTTCATCCATTTCGCTTTCCACTTCACTGCCTTCATCTGCACACACAAATAATACCAAAACCATTACCAAAAGACAGATTGGAAAATGGCAATCATCTGGTGCTCTAGAAACACTCTGATGCAGTACATTAAGAAAGCAACTGCTTAGCTCTTCTCAGGGGACAAAGCTTGTAGGTGTTCCTTTCACTAAATTTTACTGGTATCAATGTTCTGTTACTGTATCTATAATTCTTTCAAACATAGCAAAAGTAATTTATTTTTGGTTAGTTTGTGATTGATAACTTTAATAGCTGTTTTAAGAAGGCCTTTGGAATTTCCTAAAGTTTTTATATTAAATAATGGTATAATTTTTGTTATCATTTTGGTACACTATACTGGCTTTTGGGCAATATATTGAGCTGAAAAATGCTAACTAAAAAAAAGGGAAAGACGGAGAGAAGGAGGAAGAAGAAAAAATTTCAGTGTCTTCCAAATATCTATACTAGATATAAATTTCACATGTGTTGATGTTAATGTAGGTAAGACCTATGCTGATTCATAAAATAACCATAGCAAGTATCAGGGGCTGTTGTAAAGATGTTTTGGTGTACATGAATGTTGTACATCACAATATTACATTTTTATTACAAAAAATTATGAAGGCTGAGGCAGTAGTATCAGATGAAAAATGTGCAATGCAGTTCCATTCCTGGCAACACTGATGCTCACTGTTAATAGCTGGTATTCATTTCTGGAATTAAATGTATTAAGTAGTCACGGTTAGATCCAAATTTTAATCCATTTTATATTAACTAAAACATCATAATAATGGAATACCATCTAATTTTTTTCCAGCCTGCCATGCTAGAATTCAAAAGTAGAGCAAAGAGAGAAAATGCTCACACATAGCTTTACAACTGTGTAAGGTTCTCTTCAGAGGAGTGTAGAGGATACACTTCACGAGTGATAATTTTTAAACAGTGGGGAATATATTTCTGCCTTAAAAATCTTTCTATTTCACCTTCAACATGTTTTAGTGTTTATCAAAAACAGATACCCATATAATCACATCAAATACCTCATCTATCACTAAAATATATCTACACTTATTGTTATATTTTTGACATTTTACAGTGACTTCTATAAACAGAATCAGATATTCTCTTCTATGGCATATCATATTCAGGTAGCTCTTCAGTCAGATTAAGTTGGGGACTCCTTCTTAAGGATACTGCGTCTCATTTTACTATTTAGGACACATCTACCATGGAAGTCCCTGCTGGTGCAGCCCTTGATATAATGGGGCCCTTGACTTTTCCTCTGTTAATATCAACTAGGGCAAAGAAGGTTCCAGAGAAAAGTGATTAGGAGTAACAGGGACCTGTTGTGCAGTGTACAGCTGCCAGGAGCAACAATTCCTAAGAAATGGCATATGTAATTAAAAAGGTTGAGATTAGATGTATTGACTAGAAATGATGTCTGTAATGCACCATTAAGCGATAAGAAGGGCTCTTAGATGAAGCAAAAGACTTCTTGGCCCATCTGTTTTCTATAGTTACCTGTTTGCCTCTGGAAAATGGACTTGATATTAGATTTGTCAGAACAAGCACATTGGAAGGGCTGGTGGGCTGCTGGGAGAGGGATACATTTGATAGACATCTGCTTCATTAAGAGGGTATACGTGAAACAGATTTGTATGATACTTCTTGTTTTATTTATGCGTTTGTTTATACATAAAAACAAAAAATAGTATCTGGATCTTCACACTGAACTTTTAATGGTGGTAGTCTCTTGGCATGATGATGAAATTTCACTTTCTATAGTTTCTAATTCTGTGTATCATTCTTAAATTTTTATACAGAGCTAATATTATTTTTATCATCAGGAAAAACATTAAAATTCTCATTTTGTGGAAAAAGTGCACAAAAACTCTTGAAACTCTCCGATTTGAGCCTTAGGCTCTGATGATGCCACTATGGCTGTATCTCAAGAAGCATCAGGTGTGGGGGTATATGGAACCAGCAGGGCCTCACGAAGAAAAAGAGGACAAATCACACTGCTAACTCGGCTCCATCTCCACCAGCTTTCCCGTGCCTGGGAAATAATGTCGAAATAATAAAAGACCCAGCATTGAAAGGGGAAAAAAGTCATTTCAAGCAGATAGACAAGTGAAAAAAGTCCTCTCCTCCACCTTGCTGTGGATGGAAATGGCAGTGGGATAATGGACTGAACAAATGTCCGAGCGCTGGGCTGGCCTTCTTTAGGTCCACTTGTGGGTGGCAGGGTCCTTCGGATAGGCAGCATGNATTTAAAAGCTACAGTGATTCTCGCTTAATCTCACACACATATAGTTGGCATTATTTAAGCACAATTGCCATTAAGCAACATCATACAAACACATATAGATCAGCACACCACAAGAGATTTTAAAGAAGGGGGAAAGAGGGATATTTTAACCAGCATTCTGAGTAAGTTTAACATGTATTTTATTTATATTACAATACTTAAAGGGGTCCTTGAGGTATTTTAATCTATTTTTAAATGTATACCTTTACTATCATATGTATTAAACTAGGAAAAGAATTTTACATTTATTTTCACTTTTTTAATTTAAATAAGCACATACACATAGTTTAAAAATGAACATGTCATCTTGATTGCTTTGTGTAATTTGTAATATTGCCTAATGTGGTATAATCCATGGATCTCAAAGTACCCCCAATTCAATACAACAAAATGAGTCAGTGCTGAATCATTTCAGCATTTGTATCTATCCTTAATTATATTAACAAACTGTTGTTTATATTAACTTCAGGGCTTTTTGATACTTGTTGAAAATAAGACATTTTGTTTACTATCTATAAATTCTGAAGAAGAGAATTTTTTTCTTCACATCTTTAGTGATTAGAAACATGAGTATGAAAATCAGAGTGAGTATTCAAAATAGATCTCCACCACTTACTAGCTATGTAACCATTTAATCTCTCTGTGTCTTAGCTTTCAACTTCAATCTCAGATGCTCATCTGTAGAACAGGATAAAGCAGTACCTATCTCAGAGTTGTTCAGTGCTAAATGCTTTATTATATATAAAGGACTTAGAACTGTGCCTGGCACATAGTAAGTGCCCCCAAAATGTTAGCTATCATTATCATCATCATCACTCCTTTCTGAAATAGAATCATTCATTTTGACTTTTGGACATTGGGAAAAAGAGTCTACAAAATACATATTTAACTTTTTCCTCTGTATTCCTAGCTTTATCAGAAGCATCTATCTTTCTTATTTTCCATTCAATAAGGTTTTTTATTTTAGTCCAGTAGTTCTCAAACTTTTCTTTTACATAGACACCTTTATGACATATTGAAACATTCCACAAACTTCCACATGATATAATCTATAATTTTAGAATTCATTGCTTAAGAAAATACATATGAACAGAGGGATTTAAGGACCCCCTGAAATAAATCTACAGCCCCTCCAGGGTCTAAGGCTTTTGCTTTAGAACCATTGCTTTTATCAATAATTAATATTTTTTTATTAAAATGGAATTCAGGTTCTTTAGAAAAACAAATATGGATTATAGCTCTCTTACCTCTCCCATGACTGCTATGGGTGTCTCTCCTGTTGCCTGAGCAACACGATGTTCTACTAAGTAGAACATATACTCGTCGTAGAGTAGACGGATCAGGTGGAAGGAGCCAAAGCTAGCAGCACTGCGTAAGGTTAAGTCTCGAATAACCATTGAGCTGTTCCAAGAGAAAAAACATATATGCAGCCAATATCAGTGACCAGGATTAGAGTTCAATACACTTTTCCTCTTAAAAAAAGTTAAGTTGGTGATCTGAAAAGTTGGTATAGCACACAACCTGTCATGGAATAATTTCATTATTGAAAGCAGTTGGCTCAACTCTTTGAAAGACTTGATTAGATCTTCATTAGAGATAGATAGATCTTCACCAGGAAAAGCCATTTTACTATCATTGGCAAGTCTGCTGATTCTGTTAAACTCCCCAATGGGTCAGAATTGAATATAAAATATTTTTGAAAGGTTGGCAACTCATCACCACCTTAAGAAAAAGCAATTCAAAGTGAAAATCTTCTTGAGGGGTAAACACAGTGTTACCACCTCTCAGTGACAATGACTTAGGTGTACATTTTTGGAAAATACGTTTGTGTGCCATACAAAGGTTACAAAATATACTAAGCAATGTTCCCAAATGTGGCAATGTATAATGTAAGTGAGCATGCTCAGGGATTCCTAAAAGTTGGATTTTGAAGGTAAATTTATTAAGTAATTCCAGTTTCTTACTGACTTCCATTTCAATTAAGGTGATGTTCCATCAGAAATAAGTGTAACAACATCAATTAGAAATGCATATCTTTGAAAAATGTGAAGTTAATTGATAAAATATAATACCAAAATATGATTATTAATAAAATATTATCAATAAACTCAATTATATTTAAAATGGAAATGAGTAAAATATAAAATTTTGGCCTCACTGAGGACAAGCCAATCATTAAGCTCGTCCATGACTTCAAACCTCTTTAATATTTCTAACTTTGAGTCAGAGTGGGGTGTGTGCGGGTGTCTTGGTGTGTGTCTGCGTGTGTGTTTCTCATCACTGGGTTAGTGGTCTATTCTAGAGATTTTTGGCCTAGGATAACGAAACAGCCATTATATTCTCAGGTAGGAGGAAGAGACAGGATCTCACAAATGTAAAGGCTGATATTCCGAAGCCTTGGTTTGCAGTGAAGAATTATAAAATATCAGGCAGATGGAGAAATAGAAGAATATACTTCTGTTTTCTGTTTTAACATCAACTTTATTTATATAGATGCCACTAATATATCAAATTCTATACATTCAACTTGGCCAGTGGCAGATCATCACTGTCTCTCTGAAATTTGGAAGCCTGGGTTTCTGATTCTGATTCTGACTCATTAGCCTGTCGACCTCAAACACATCATTTCCCTGAGATTGTTTATCCTCTTGGATGAAAATGAAAGCAGTATTTTTGTTCTTATCTAACTGACATGATTATTTCAAGGATGTGAAATAAGCTTACGAATAAATAGACCACTACTTAAATAGAATTGATTGTGATTATAATAGAACAGAAAGAGCTGAGCTCCTCCTCCTCATCTGGTTATGGTAGTAAGAACAGGGAGGTACTATATGATGATGGCAGGGGACCTCTCATTAGTGGATATTTACTAAAAAAAAAAAAGCATGGGTTTGGAGTTAAACCACACTAACCACTATGTGATCTTAATTATGAGCATGTCATTTAACATTTTAAGGTTCAAGGTTAGCCTGAGTGTCAAATGAAGATAATGTATAATGTGAGATCCTAAGAAAACTACTTATTAATACACTACTATATATATTAGAGTTAATAATGTATTCATTATTATAAACAGCAGTACTAGTGAATGATACCTTAGAGTCCAATACCTTAATGAATACCTTAAGTGTACAGCTCTATAAGCGAATTACTGAAAATAGATTAAGACTTTCATTTATAGGCTAAAGATATATGGAAAAATTCTGTTTATAATTCTATGCATACCTTTCTTACAATTCAGTGACACATCACCCATTTGTAAAAAATAATTAATACAAATATAACAGCTACTGAAATTAAACATTTTTTCTCCTATGGAAAAAATTTAAAAGGCAGAGAATCCTGTACTTTAAAAAGCAAAAACAAAACAATGCAAAAATAACAATAAAATAGTGTATAACCTATACTAATCCAGATTTGATTATATGAAGTAAATAATTTTAAAAAACTAAATATTGCAGGAGCAGAATATTCACTCTTTTATTTATTTATTATTATTATTAGTTTCAGGTGTAAAAACAATGCAATAGTTATCCTTTTCACCCCTCACAAAGTAACCCCCCTCCCCCCAACCACTGTCCTCCCAACCCTGATAGCATACTTATCTTTTACAATTCCATTGACTCCATTCCCACACTTTATTCCACATCCCATGACTATATGTATATATAATTATAGTTGACATACAATATTATTCAACATCAGCTTCAGATATACAGTGCAGTGTTCAGGGCTCTACACCGTCTATGTAGTGGTCTCCCTAACAAATCATGAGTCCATCTGGCCCCCTAAAAAATATTTACAACATTATTGATTATATTCCCCAGATTGTCTTTTCTATTCCTAAGGCCATATCGTAGTTACCAATTTGTATTGTCTCGTCCCTTCCCCTTCTCCTTCATCCCCACCCCCTCCCAACTAGCAACCCTCAGTTTTTCCTGTGTCTCTGAGACTATTTCTGTTTACATTTCTCATTTAGAATATTCACTCTTAATTTCAGCTCTTTTGCTGAAGAAAGATAGCAAACATTTACACGTAAAATAAAGCCCAGAGAAGACAAATGGCTAACAAACATACAAATATATGACTAATCTTATTCAAAATTAAAAGAAATACAAATTAATCATCAATTTTATTTATATCATCTATTTTACTGTAAGGGATTAAAAGATCCAGTGTTGCAGAGAGTATGACAAAAGAACTCTTATGCTGTTTCTGCGAGTATAAAATTCATGAATCTTTTGTGAAGGGAAATTTGGGCATATTTGTAAAAATTTTAAATGCACAAATCCTTTACACCAAAAATTTTAATTCTAGAAATTTACACAAATGAGCAAAGACAGTTTTAATTGTAGCAATATTTAATTTATACTCACTGAGAAACTAGGGTGAAAAACAAAATATCCATTAGCAGGATGCTGATTAAACAAACTATGGTTCATACACATATGGAATTATTTGCAATAGTTTTAAAAAATTAAGTAGACTAGACACAAAGGTAGTAACATGGAAGATATTTATAATATAATGTTACGTTAAAGAAGTAGAATGTATAATATGGGCCCATTTAAAAATAAAAGCTATCCATAGTTGTTGTTTTTTTTAAATTTAAATCCTACCCATAAATAAATGGGAATGTTTAATAATTTATTAGTGCTGGGATGGCACAATTCATTAAAATTGTACTAGTCACTTTAAGAAGTTCTAACCCTTTTACTAGAATTTATCTGAGGATATATGTGCCCTTTCATACAAGTGTAATCATTACAGTATTTTTTGTAATTGTATGACAATACCAAAAACCACCTAAATGCTCAAGAATAGGGGAAAAGGGAATGTTTAAATAATTTATGAGACATACACATAATGGAATAGTGTGAGGACATTAAAAATTATGCTTCTGAAGATATTTAGTGACAAGGAATGTTCAAGATATAATGTTAAATACAAAATGTTAAGGGAAAAATCCAGATAATAAACTGTGGTAAACAATTGGATCCCAATTTTATATAACACTAAAAGAAAACATATTACCATTGATCACTTCTGGGGAGAAAAATGATGATTCAAGTTTATTCTTTGTACAGTTTTTATATTTCCTAGATTTTCTAAAGTGAGCACATATTAATTTCATAATACAAATGTTTTATTTAAAAGATAACATTCACTCTAATACAAAAAAACCAATCCTGAGTCAGTTTAATCTCAACAGATCTTTACAGGGATAAATATCACAGATATAGAATGAATTATTTAAATGTAAGTATAAATACATACATATTTCTAAATTCAAATTTTAGGGTTTTTATAGCTCCTTTAAAATATAACCCTGAAATCATGTTAATAACTTAAGGAGAATTTTTAGATTGAGTAGCTTTCTGGTATTATTAAAAGAAATGCAAAGTCAATTATTTTTTTCCAGGAGAATTCACATTCATTCATGCAATACACATTTGTTGTGTTTCTACTCGGTGCCAGGGTCTTGTTCAAGAATAAGCTAGAATAAATTTGGTTTCAACAGCGTTCACATTCTAGTAGGAGAGACAGTCAATAAAAACACAAGTAGATATAAAATATAAAGTTAGGTAGTGATAAATGCTATGAAAAAATAAATAAATAAAGGTAAGAAGCTGGAGAGTGACAGGGGCAGGTATATTAAATTAGGGTGCCAGGCAAATTCTTTCTGAGGTGATATTTAAGCAGAAACTGGATTGAAGTGAGGGAATGAGCATGTGAACATGTGAGCTTGCCGGACAGAAAGGAGAGTAAATGCAGACTTTGAGGCAGAACTACATTTGATGTGTTCAAAGAACAGCCAGGAGGCCAGTGTGGCTGGAGGACAGGGAGCAAAAGAGAAGAATACGTGATGAGGTCTGGAGGTCACTAGTAGCTCTCACTAATACCAACTTCTGTTGGGAAAAAAAAAAAAATCTGCTGATCTTCAGTTATAATACCTAGTTATCATTTAAAAATACCAATAAGCATGCCATAAAATTGTCATGTTTAGAAAAGAATAAATTGAATTATATTATTAATGCTACGTCTACTTTATTCCTTCTGCCCTTCAGGACAAGGATTAAATGACACAATTAACAGTTTAATTGGAAGTCTATTGTCTGGTTCAGACTTCTGTAAGATAGGTTGCAAAATTGACTCCATCGAGTTGCTAAGTTACCACGAATCCAACTCCTTTCACAATCAGTTAAAAATGTTAATTATTGTATAATGGATGAGAAATACCCTTGTGTATTTATCTTTATAATTCATGGTGTGAAAACGGAAACATTTACCCTCACACATGATACTCACTCTGCCTCTTTGTGTATTTGGGGATGTATCACACCCTTCCTAAGAAGAAAGGTGAGAGCATCACACCTGTGACTCCCAGATAAATTCTCTTTTCAAACAGCGCTGACAGTTGATTCCCAAAGATGATTACTTTTTGGAATATTTATATATCACCCAGTTTTAGGCAAAGTAGGTTCCCTGTGCCCCCTTTCAAATCACTATCAAAGCTATACACTTCATTCCTTAAAAATGGGGTGTTTGGTCAGCCCTGCGGAATGCTGTGTTCTGTTATCCACAGAACACACAAGCTGAGAAATGGCCCACATAACTTCTCCATTTCTTCCCAAAAAACACTGATTATTGTTTCCCAGCTCCCGGGGAGCTAATAGTAGCCATTCAAAGCCAGGTTAGGCAAAGAGAGACCCCCATTTGGAAAAGAGGGTGTTTGCAGCAATATATCAACAGCCAGTTGATATCATGATTCTCTGCTGGTCCTTTTCTATATTTGTATGCATGTAAATATATACACAGAATTTTAGAAATTATGAGATTAACTGACTTCAGAACATTAGGAGTCTGTATATGTAACTGCCAGATTGTTATTATCATGCCAAAAACATTTTTAAAAAATTACCCTGCAATTCTGCTTCTCTGATAGTTTGGGAATGCAGTTTTCATTACTCAATATGTTCATACGCCTTAGTAAAAAACACAGTTCTGATTTTAAAGGCTCCTAAGCTTCTAAGCTATTGACTTTGTCTACCAGCAGGAGGTACGCATCTGTCTGAGATGCCTTTCTTTCTGTGGCCCTGAGCTATATGCCTCCAAGTGTTTTTGAAATGAAAATAATAACCATAATAGTGTCTAATAATAACAAGCCAATTATCCCCAACTCAGGGAGGACAGAGGGCAGGCAAGTGATGATCAACCGGGTTTGTATAACTGCGAGAACTAGAAATACAAGTAAGTAATTTTCTCTTTTCAAGATAACCTGCAACAGATCTCTGTGGAGATGAAGGCTCCAGGGGTGTATTTCTAAAACGATATCAACTAAATATAGAAAAAAACAAAACAAAACACAGGAAGGAGTAAGGCTAGGTCTGACAAAACAACATAAGAAAGCCATAAGAAGAGGAAAAAAAACTTGCTTTTTCTGCTATAGAGGATGTACTCTGATTTTGGTTATATAGGTTTTGGAACAACCAGCTAGTAAGATTCTTCTGTTTCATCAATCATTCACGAAGCACATATACCATCTATATAATTTTCTGGGGAAAACAATGGATAAATAAAAAATCAACTTGCAAACAAATGAGAAAATACCTGAAATCTTCTTAGGAAATATTCCCAAATTAAAATGTTGAATTCTACTGTTACTACTGCTGCTGCTGCATCCACTTTAAGAACACTGGGGCGATGTTTTCTAAATCTTCCCCGTGTATCCAGGGAAAGCTTACATTTCTCATCAACACCCAGATCTAAACCTAGCTCTGGCTTTACTGAAGCAAACCAGTGGGTCAGAGTCAGCCCGCACCTTAATATGTGCTTCTCAAATCATCTGGGTGAAAGGTATGAAATTGATATGAGACAGAACCGTGGGATGATTCCATTCCAAAAACAAAAACAAAACAACAACACAAAGCTGGCAGGCTTTCTTTTACTTCATGTGACCCTGGGCTAGACACTAGAAAACTATTTTCCGGATGAAACAATAATTTAACTCTTAATTGCACTTATACAGTAGATCTGCAGCTAGCGCTACTTCAGCTTAAGAAATAAGAATTAGACTAAATCAGTTAAGAATGAAAGAAGTCACTGACAATAAAAACCAAGGCAACTACCATCATAATTAAAAGAGCTCTCATTCCATTTTTATAAAGGTGATCAAAACAAGATGGAAATCCTACAGTTTGGGCTTACTGGGTTCACAAACACTACTAGTTCCTAAACTCTGTTACTTCTTCATGTACCTTCTCTCACGTCTAGCTTTGATCTTGCTACTGATGTTCAGATAATAACCATGGTGTACCCACAGCCCCTGTCAGTGGTATGTCCTGTGGTCACTACTTTCTGACATGCGCATGGCTGCATGCAATTAAAATTAGTGAGCTGCCTAAACCTCAAAGTAGACATGGCTTTTAGGCTCAAGCCAGTGGGGCCACCTTTATCAAAAGTAGGAAAAAAATGAACTCCCACCACAAGAACAAAGGCTTGGGTAAAAAATATAGCTTATCTAATTTATTTTATGAAATGGGACTCCATCTGTCAATTCCATCCAAAGTATATATGTACGTATACCATATACCATATATGCCAGCTTAGGCTCTGTTTTAACCCTTGGGACAGAACTATGGTCAACAGCTTATACAACATTTGATATCATATATCAAGTAATCTGCTAGCCTTTCTCTCCCAGGGTTCTTCAATGTCTGCAAAAATATAGTACATTTATATCTCTATTATTTTAGTGAAAAAGTGATTCATTTTGTATTGTCTACTAGATTATTGGTTATTAAATGGTCTATGCATTAGAATCACCAAGAATAAACTTTTGAAGAAAGGATTTCTGATTTATTTGTAATCACTACTCCTTAACCATAAAGATTTTGATTCAGTAGGTTTTGGGAGATACCTAGGATTTTTTGTTTTTTTTTACCCTAATTCTGATGCGCAGCTAGGTTTGAAAACAGTTGTAAGTAATCAAATTAAGAAATTAACTAGATGGGGGGCCAGCCAAGTAGCTCAGTTGGTTAAGAGCATGAGCTCTGAGCAACAGGGTCGCCAGTTCGATTCCCACATGGCCCAGTGAGCTGCACCCGAGCGGAGCTGCCAACAGGTGGCAGGATGGCTCAGCTGGTAAGAGAATGTGCTCCTAACAACAAGGTTTCCGGTTCCACTCCCACATGGGATGGTGGGCTACGCCCACCTGCAACTAAGATTGAACACGGCACCTTGAGCTGAGCTGCCCTGAGCTGCCAATGGGCAGCGGATTGCTCAGTGGTTAGAGCCTGCGCTCTTAGCAACAAGGTTTCTGGTTGGACTCCCACATGGGATTCTGGGCTATGCTCACCCGCAACTAAGATTGAACACGGCACCTTGAGCTGAGTGTCCACAAGCTGCCGATGGGCGGCTGGATGGCGACTGGACTTAGACTTGAAGCTAGCTGCGCCCTCCACACCTAAGACTGAAGGACAACAACTTGGCTGTTCCCCTTCCCCAATTCCCCAACACTGTTCCTCTCCCGCAAAAAAAAAAAAAAATAAATAAATAAAAAGAAAGAAATTAACTAGATGGTTCTGAGCATGCATCAGAATCACCTGGATGACAGTTTAAAAAGCAGATTGCTGAGCCTCACCTCTGCACTTTCTGATTTTGGTAGATTTTTGTGGAGGGACCTAAGAACTTGCATTTCTAACACGTTTCCAAGCAACAGTGATGCTACTGGTCTTTGAGAATCACTGAATCAGAGAATAAAGAGTGATGCTAAGGCCTCAAGAAAGAAGCCTAAATAATGTATGTTTGCCTGACAGAGGACGGTAGCCCTTTTCTGACTGTTGTTGAACACGTTATCTAGACTGGAATCTTAGATGTTCCCATCTGAGGCTCTAGGACTTTGAGCAAGAGGCTTTCTTTTCCTAACAGAAAGCTGATTTCAATAGCCTCCTGGTAGAATGCCATAATGTTAGAATCAGTGAGTTGGGGGGCAGGTAATCCAAACAGGAAGCTTCTGCACACTGAAGTCTTTGCTCATTTATTTTCTTTGGTCAGAGAGGCACGAAAATACACACATATTTGCAGACTTTGAAAAATAAAGCGTAGGAAAAACTGAGCTAATACCTGTAGAAGGACCATTTTAGCAGAAATTGCCTGGCAGCTTTAGGGAAACTGGGTCTTCCTTCATAGGGTTTCAGTGCTTGCATCATCACATTGTCAAGCCACGCAGCCCACTGCTCCAGGGTGCTCTGCTGCTGAAGAGTCATCTTGAAGTCTGTTTCTAGTCTCTGAACCATGTTGTCATCACACTGGCACACCCAGGAAGCCTGCTCCTGAGACAGGACACGGAAAGCAAAAGGAAAGTTCAACTCAGCAGCTTTTCATTGAATATTAGCATACAAGCCATATGCATGAATGAGAAATTATAATGAAAGTTTGAAATAATTTCAGTGCATTAAGAAAATGAACAACTGCTCGTCAGTTGTTAAGGAAACTACCCTTGCCTTTGTGCATGAAAAAGTGATGTGACATAAAAGCATGACTTGGTTTTTCTATATTAGCTAGTCTGTGTGAAAGACTAACACACAGGATTATTTAAGAAAAGTAGAAGGCTGAACCTACAGTATGCAGGGTCTTTTATTCGATTCAGTTTTTATACTGCCTTCAAAAGTTCCCTCTTTTTTCTTCCGATTAGATAAAACTATTTGAGAAGATTTAGGGTAAGTCAGGTGGATAAACAGGTTCAATTGGCCAAAAGTGGTCCCTCAGGATCAAAACAGAAACAAACTCTGAATGGTACTGGGTAGAAACATATACCGTATAAGTTTTATAGATTGGGAACTGAAATCTCAAGAGCTGTCAAAGCAAGGTTATGAATACAAATTAATTCACAGAACTGAAAACAACAACAACAGCAACAAAAATACTTTTGAGAAAATGTAGACATGCTACCTGCCAAGGAATTTGATTACTACCATTTTCCTTCAGGTTCTGATTAAGGAGTTTCATGTTTGGTAATAGCAATGAAACTAGAAACTTTTAAAGGTACTTTTCAGTGGTTGCCATAGTTTGATAATGTTTCTAGTGCGATGTTCGAATTAAAAAAAAACTATACTCTGAAGGTCAGAATATAATTATTTGGTAACATAGTACTTGACTGAGAGTCAGATGACATTGATTTTAATACAGGGCCAGAATCAACTAAACTGACCTTAAGAAATTCATTTAATTTAAGTGGGCCTCATTTTCCTAAGCATATAATTAGAGAAATGAAATCTGACAATTTTTAAGCTGGGTTCATTGTGTCCAGATTATATTTTCAAAATACTTTTCTGTAAAGGGGTGTCTATGAAGGTCCTCTATAGCTCAAACATTATGAATATGTATTTTTCTGTAAAGAGTGTCTATAGCTTTCACTGTATCTGTTCTCAGAGGACAAGTTCATTCAAATCAATAATTTTAACTGAATCAATCCCTAATCTCCATCCTCTGGTCCCAGCATCTCTCCTGATCTTACAAACTTTAACTAGTCAAGAGATACTTCAACAGGGAGGTACTTCAAATACAAAACACCCAAACCCCAGTCACTTTATTTCCCCAGGGATATCTATGGATTTTTTTTTTTCTATATTCCCAGCTGATGGTACCATCTACTATCCTTCTTGCTCTTATCTAATTAGTCATAAGGCTTTCAGATTTTACCTCCTAAATACTACTTTTAAACATTTTAAGTACATTAAAATCTGACTATAGAAAAATTAAAAATAAAAATAATCAAAAAAGACACAAAATATTAAGAACATCTAAATGCCAACATTACGAGATAACTACAACATGCTAATGTATATACCTTTCAACCTTTTCACGTACAACATGAATATGCATGTATGCATATGCCTATATAAAATATTTTTAAAAAGGATGACATGATACATTCTACTAGATATTCAATTTTTCTTAAGGTTCTTTTAAACGTATCTTTTTTGAGTGAAGATTTGAAATAAATATTACAGTATAAATTTTAAGGCAATATGAACTTTTAATTCTCACTAAAATCAGTTCATATACATTCCACTGAAATACGTAAAGCTAATGACTTTGTAAACTTGAGATAGTTTGTTCTTGTAAAGGTTATGCATTTGCATGTGTGTATTTATGTGTGTTGTATACTGATAAAATGATACATATAGAAAGATACATTTTAAAAAACTTGATATTCATCAGAAGTTTGAGCCCAATACATGAAGGTCAGAATGAACAACTGATTTTCTATACCCTAAAATGAATTAAGCTCAAATATTACTGTTTGACATATTTTAAATGATAAAACTAGAGTAGGCTACAGATTAAAATTTCTAAGAAATGGAGTAATTAAAAGTTTGTTTATTTATTTATTTATTTATTTAAAGATTTTATTGGGGAATTGGGGGATGGAACAGCGTTGGGGAATCAGGAAGGGGAACAGACAAATTGCTGTCCTTTTGTTCTTCAGTCTAGTTGTGGAGGACGTCGCTTCACTGGCCCATGTTGGTATTATTATTGCACTCTTACTGAGTGAGGCAGTCACTCGCCAGCCATTGGACAGTCGTTCATGGCGGCTCATGCTGGCTGCCGGTCAGCCCCACTGCAGCCTATGCCATCACTGGCAACTCACAGCAGCCCAGCTCCAGGTCGAGCTGTTGTTCACCATCTTAGCTGTAGAGGGCGCAGTGTCACTGGCCCTCATGTGGGATCCGAACCGGGGCCCTGCTGCTCAGAGCTGGCATCCCAAGCCAACTCTTAATCAATGTGCCACTCGGCCGGCCCAATAGTTTGTCTTTAAGCAATGATATAACTTTAACAGTTTCATTGAGATAATCTCAATTCATGTATGATACAATTCACTCATTTAAAGTATAAGTTCAATGGCTTTTAGTATAGTCACAGAGTTTTGCATCCATCACCACAATCAACTTTAGAAAGTTTTCATTTCCCCCCAAAAGAAGTCCCATACCACTTACCTGTTACCTTCCAATCCCCCAGTCATCAAGACGTAGGCAACCCTAATCTATTTTCTGTCTCTATGGATTGACCAATTCTGCAGATTTCCTACAAATGGAACCACACATTATGTGGTGTTTTGTGTTTGACTTCTCTTACTTCACATAATGTTTTTAAGGTTCATCCATGTTGTAGCATGTGTCAGAACTTCATTTTGTCTCATTGCTTATTCTTAGTTCTATCAAGGTAGGGCACTATTAAGAACAAATGTCTCTTGTGTGTTACAGTGCAAAGGGCTTTACGTATTACTAAATATTTAAACACTAATCTAAGATAGGTGTTATAAAGTAGGTTAAGTAAAGCCCAAAGCAGTTAAGTAACTTGCCCAAGAACCCACAGCTAAGAGATGAAATAATTTAATCTCCTGCCTATCTTCAATGACTGTGATTTTCCTTATTCCATTAACTATTCGGCAAACCCTGGTAACACTACTACAATATTGTAGTACACGTTGCTGTCTACTACAATAAATTTTAGCAGACATTGGCAGATGTTAACCACAAAACAGAGGAGCAGTCAAGTCACAGCTGAGTAAAACTACGCTCTCTCAGGGCACTGTGAATATAGAGGCTTCCTGTATATTGATGAAACGTTGAAGAGAAATATGATGATTTTAATTAAGAAGAAAAAATTGGAAGTCTTTCCTCAGAAGACACGTTTTGAAAGAAAACCGAGTACCTGGACATTGGCAAAGTCGACACGGTTGAGGTCATTGAGCATCTGGTTGATCTGAGACGTGTTCTGAAGCACTGCGCGAGCTGCCTGGGCCAGGTGATTGAGCGACGTGTATCTTCGCAGAGTCTGGGCAAAGGCACTTACAGCGGCAACCTGTAAAGAAATCCAATTAAACTGGGATTTTTTTTTTTTTTTGTCCCCTCCAGTAAAAGAAACCACTGCAAGTGTTCAAAGCTTTATTCCCTTGCCAAATTTTAAATGCTTCCCTCTGATACTTATTTCGAATTCATTTGGTGAGAGAGCTTACTTGTAAATTATAACATTTAAATCTCTAAACCAAGTATTATTTTCCTTTTGAGTGGGTTGAGGTCAAGACTAAAACAAACTCCCACATTCTTCGACATCTGAGTGCAGCATTAATTAAACCAGTCTCACAAGTGACTACTCATCCATAGCAAGAAATACTTTGTCTAGGCAAGTAGAAAAAATGTTGATTTTCCTTTCTTTTCTACTCTCTGTACTATAAACTAGGCAAATATTTTTTTTTCTTTCTACTTGGAAGCCAAACTGTACAGTCTCACTTCCTAAAATGGATTTAAAAATATACTTTTCAGAGCACTGTCATTCAGATTCACTCTTACAGTTTTATTTCATAGAAACTTGGGTCATTTTGAGGTAAAACAAAAGTGTTCACAATAGCCTTTATTAGCAAATATATAGCTAATAAACTTATTAGAAACAAGCAACAAGAACTACTCTTTTTCAGGATTTGAATTTCTGTAAGAGGGCTAACCAGGAAATCTCCATTTTCCCTTCAAAATCTACATTCCATCCTTATCTAGTCTGCTCTGTGCCCGGGAAGACTGACCTGAACATACTTCATTAATCTCCTCCCTTATACTCTGCCTTCCAGTTGGGTTTGGCCAAAGACAGGCACTGGCAGGAGACTGAAGGATGGGAATAAAGGGTGGTCAAAGATTTATTCCCGCACAGCCTCCGCTCTTTCTGTTTCGGCAGACACTGCTTTCCTTTTCTAAGGCCACTGTCCTGAAGCAAGAAGAGGATCTCTAAATGCTGTAACTTTTACCTCTTCCCCCTTCAGACCAGGGATGTTCAGGACCTCCCACTGTTGTTTACCTCTTCCCCCTTCAGACCAGGGATGTTCAGGACCTCCCACTGTTGTTAGTCCTGGGGAGCTTTATCATTCCTTTTCTTAACTCTGTTCACACATTTGGAAATTAGACCCTTCTTAAACTCTCTTCAATTATTCTCCTGTCTGAATATGCCATTTGTTTCCTGCTGCAACCCTGAATGAACCAGGTTACAATGAAAGAGATCAAAGATAATACCAAAAAAACCCCCCAAAAAACGGTCTAGGTAGATATCTAAATCTCATGATCTGAATAGATCCAAGGATAATTTAAACATATTTACAGGAATTTATGGTATGACATTAACTCACTATGGTTATATAAGCAATTATTTAAACATTCAGTTGGCTGAGTGGTAGAGGGTGATCACAGGTCAAAGGATGCTCTATCTTGATAGTGAAATGTTTTAGAACTATGTGGAACTTGGAGGAAGTTCACATACCCTCAAAAGAGTCCTACGCTTCTTTCAATTTCTGTGGTTTTCCAATTTCTGTGGTTTATATTAATCAAGCACATATTATGTGCGAGGCAATGTGTTAAGTGTCTCACATATATTACCTTGTTCAATTCTCATAACCATCCTACTAGACACACATTATGACTTAAAGAGGTTAAGTAGTTTGCTCAAGGTTACACAGAAACTATGTTACAGTGATGGGATATGAACCCAAGTATTTTGATAACAATAGCCAGCATAAGCTCATTATTCTGTTTCTTCTGTCAGGGTAGATTGTCTTCTCTAACTGAATGTTCACCTGAAAAAAGGGTGCACATCAGTGAGATAGGCAGCAGAAGGCACCTTCCACCAAGGTAAATAAAATCAACTCTGCAGGTCAATGAGATGGCCAATATTACAGCTGGATTGATACCATATCCACTTTGATGACACTGGGAAGAGGTATTTTCAGCTGTTTGAAGTATTGTTTTGAGTATGACTGACTTTGCAAATCAGAAAGCATTCTTCTGACCATCATAATCACATAGCACCTCCATTTTTTGCCCATCTCACTGTGGCACCCTAGAACAGCATTGTCATGGAGAACTTTCTATGGTGATGGAAATGCTCTACATATGTGCTGCCAGATAAGGTATCCACTATCCACAAGGCAGTATGGCACACTTGAAATGTAGACAGTGTGACTATGGAACTAAATTTCAATTAAATTTAAATTTAAAATTCAAATGTAAATAGCCACATGTGGTTACCTCTACTGTATTGACAGCATGGCTCTAAAGCAAAAATCTAAGGTGGAATATCAATGAAATGTTTCTTTCTTTATGTTTTAGAGATAGAAAGTGTTATTGCAAACTGATAGTCAAAGCAGAAAGAACTACTTGTGCTCCCAAACAGACTTGTCAGCTACAAGAGCTTCAATCAACCACGCCCCCAAATTGAAAGACAATGTATATTGTTGGAGTTTGAAAGTGGATATGGTAACTGACAAAAATCCACAAATGTAAATTCCTGATACCAAAGTTTAGAAAGAGTTAGTTCAATCTTGCCATGGGGTATGTTTACACATTAACCTAAAGTAACATGATTAGTAGGGGACAAAAAATTCCTATCTTTAGCTAAATAATCCACATTCTTGATATATACTGATCAATTATGAGATAACTGTTTCACTTTAAGAAATGATTACTTGATTCACAAAAGCATTCTCTAATGTTAAAAAAAAATCCTGAAAAATAAAAGAATATTAATTTACGTGAACTTTTCACAACACAATAAGTATAGCTGGAGACTTAAAAAAATCTAAAACTCCTTTAAATAGGAACTATTTGAACATTCTAGGCCATTCTTTCTAATATTTGAAATTAAACAATCTAAAATATATACTTGAAAAAAGGGCTTATAAATACACCACACTTAAAATGGTTCTTTGGTATTTTTGAAAGGGGCATTATCAAAAACATCTCTTGTGCAAGTTTTTTATTACACAGTTATAAACACAAATATAAAAATCAGTTTTAAAAATTCTATATATCGTAATACCAACATTTTACATAATGCCATTTCATAAGACATGGAAAAGTCACAGTTCAGAACAATTTCTTAAACACAAAAGAAAAAGCAAAGATATAAAAGTGTACCTTGGTTTGTATCATTCTTTGTGGAATATTGTTCATGGCATTGGAAAGCCAACCTTCAAGGCTTTTAGCAAAATTTCGAATGGCTTGGGTCAAGGCACCTAAATGTTAAAGAATAAAAGCAGAACAAAAAAAGATAGCAAAGAACATTAATCTTTATGCTAGAATAAGGGAAAACATGCGTACGTACATGACATATGAAATAGCACAGAGCTTAAATTGTCCTCAATGACAAGGCTTTATTTAACATTATTCCTAACTTTGAAAGCATCCAAGAATTACATTTTGGGCTTTTTTTTTCTTTTAAAGCTATTTTGTTCCAAGATACTTATAAGACTTTGTTAGGAAATGAAAACATTCAAACATTTTTGCTTATAGCAACATATACCAGTTGTGAATATACTTATGGAATTTCCTATCTTAAACAAAACACTTTTCATGAACAGTTCTGTGCTCAAAGGCTATTTTCTTTGTAAGTTGTTTGATTTTTCAAGCTGTTAATCTAGTTTTTCTTTCTTTCTTTCTTTTTCAGTTAAAAGAAGATAATGCAATGCTTCATCTCTTTCTCTAAGCATCTGTTTACACTAGAACATATCAATAAGAAGCTATCTCTCACTCTTTTTGAAAAGTAAGGTAAAAATTAAAATTGCCTAACTTGAAAATTTTGGATAACTATTCTTCATTTCACTTGGCAGGTAGAGATAAAAGATCAGTGTGATAAAACTACTGTCACAGAGACCGATATTCTTAAGATATTCCTAAAATAGTCCATTCCATATTCTTCACATATCTGTTAAAGCCTGAAATAGGGATAGGTCCCATGACAGCTTTTTATGGTGGTCATAAAATGTTTAGAGGCATCTTTGACTATTTTACAAGAAGGGATCTGCTTATTGATATTGCTATATAATAGAAGACAGAATTCTTCTCTTGTTCAACAAGTAATTCATTCAAGAACATTTTACTTCATCTGTGCCTGAGGCTCTACAGTATAGGGAGCAAATTTAGACATTTAATAAGTGTTTGAAACATTCACAAAATAAATCTTTGTGGGTTCTCTATAATATGGGCAGGTATTACAATTGGTAGTCTACTCTAAGAAACAGAGAAGTTACATTTTTGTCGAAGGCTCCCAAGAATGTTAATGTTAATGATAGGATTAAATTCCTTGATGTTTTTCATTCTGTGCTCAAATGAGTCTGACATGCCTCTCTATTACTTTTGTTAAAGCAGGGTTAGACATAATTTAGTTTACTCGAGTTACTAGCACACGATACAAATATTACTAATCCAATAATAAAAACAACTAGTTTTTAAAAATGATTTATTTAACTGGTCAAATCATAAAGAGAAATTAAAATGGCTTAATTTTGATTAGGAAAAACATTCAAGAAGTGCAGACTCTGTAACTATGAGAATCATTGGAAACGCTAAGTTGGAAATTTCTTTAGAACGAATCTTTTGAAATTTCCAAAGCTTCCCACTTTAGCCGAAAAAGAAAAAGGAAAGAAAAATATTTTTCTGCTGCATTATGTACTAGAACCATGGAGGGCAGGCATGAATGGAAATGAAAAAGAGTGAAAAAAAATTAACGACCCTTTTAGAAACTCAGTAAGATTTTTTTTGTAAGATTCAATTTGGCTATCTGTATTTTGCATTTTTTTATAATATATAATAATTATTTAATCTCAAAAAAAAACAACAAACAAGAACCAGGAAAGGTTACATTAAAAAAATTAATATATGAGTCTTGTTTTATATAGACAAATTTGATGCTAGGGAGATTATAAAACGATATGTTTTATATATCAAATGATTTTAAGTTTTTACCTTTTTGTACTAAATGACATTTGGGCCCCCTTTAATTACATCTTATAATTTTACATTTAAGTGTTACCAGTTGAGTTCTTATACAATTCTTTACACTTAACTTTTTTTTCATTTTCAGATAAATGTATTTTAGAATATAGTAGCTTCAAGCTGACTTTAAATTAGTGTGATATGCAGACTTTTTTGGCTAAAAAAAGGAGTCCCATCTGGACAGTAAATGGTAAAATGAAGCGCTAGTAGCCATAAAATGACAATTTTTAAAAATAAAATTATGTTTGCTCTCTCTATGTGGGTTCATATCAGATCAAATTGTGCACATGAACTCTAACAACTTCTCTCATGAATGAATAGTTTGAAATTTAAAATCTATTCCAAAGCTAACTTGTTTCAACCTGCTCATGATTAATATTAAAATGCATACAATCAGAAGATAGCTATCCAAACTGCATTGTAAACTTTCTTTTGTTAAGTCATGTTGTAGAATGGGAATTAAATTTCCAAATGTACCTGGCACGTTAATGTATCTTGTAATTTCAGAGAAAACATTAAACTATAAAACTATGCTCATGTGAAAATTACTGAAGTTGAGCTGTCTGCTGAATGTAGAGACAAACAGAATTGACAGAATAAATTGGTTTTTAAGTCAAAATTTACACACAACAAAAGTCAAATATATTGTGTATTTAAACTGTGGGGCTTACAGTGAACTAAAATTGATACATGATTTAAGTTAGGAAACTGTTGAATTTTTTAAGTTAAAGCCTTGTGATGCTAACATAGAAGCAAAAGATTTTAGAATTACTTAATGAATATTGATGTTGTTGATTTTCCTCAAAAAAGAAAGTGCTCACTGACATCTTTCATCTCATGAGGGAAATTATATATTAGTGGTAAGATGTCATAGGCTAATGAGCTACCTATGCAACTTCTCTTAAACATCTCTAGAGATTATAACTTAGAGCATAGGGAGCAAGAAAAAAACAAGGAAAATCAGATTCTGAAACATAAATCAGTGGAGAATTTACACATTCAAATTTTCCATGACAACATCACATTTAATCAATCTTTGGTTCAGATAGAGTAGAAAACATCAGCAGTTTATAAAAATGTGCGAGAATAGCAGCTGGATATTTAAAAAACTAATTTCTATACAAATATATGTGTGTTTATTGATATTACATGTAAATGTGTATCTAAGTATATATTTTAAGGTGGTGGGGAACATGTGAGGTAATTCATGTCTTCGACCGTTTCTATCATATTTAGGGGAAAATAAAGTGTATACATACAAATGTTAGTATCTTCATTTTTTGTTGTACTAAATCCCTATTTAAATATTGTCTGAAATAATTTAACACAAATTAACTGTGATCAGTGTCCCAGAAGTACCTGGTTGCTGATTTCACAAGCTAAAAAAGATTGCTTTTATCTTATTAAGAGCACTATAGAGTGGAAATTCTGTCCTGTGTGTTTAAGAATTAAGGTCACTAGTATGTACTCATAAAGATGTAGGCATAAAATCGCTCCAACTGCCTCTAAGATAAGTATCCATAGTAGCGTTTATATTGACACAGAAAATAGCTTTGCTTGCTGCAATGTAGTTTAAAAAGCAACCATCACTTGAAAAAGGTTATCTAACTTATCTATGTAGTTCCTATTTGGTTCATAGTGGGAATACAACACTTGTGTGGTTAAACAGATTTTTGTCTCAAAATGCCAGTTAACTATTACTGTTAATGGAAACTGCATTTGTAGTTCTTAACATGATGTAGGTGACAAAGTAAGTGCTTTTATGAAGGAAATCAACTGCAGTGGAAACCAAGATACGTTCATTTCAAATCAAAAGCAATCATGAAAGAGGCTTGCCTAGCAATTACAGGTTTCAAAAAAATTTGGCATTATGAAGGAAACTGTGTCCTTGGGTGGAATAATTTTTACATGATTGACTGGCCTGGGAGTGTTCTTGCAATTGTCATCGGGCTGTCACATGCATAGGTTAGCTTTTCTTTCAAAAAGAAAACTACTAAAGGTTGAAAAACAGATTATTTTTCCCCTCTTACTACAGTTCTGCCCTAGGCTGCTTTCAGGCAATACTCTGTGTTGCATGTTTTCTGTTTGGCAAATCTAAATGAGATTAGAATCACGCTAGATTGCAATGTCACTTCCCAATACTTTCTGGGTGGAATGTATGAGAACAAAAGCATCCATACTCGTCTGCATTTAACTTACTAGGAATAGGTCTAAGGACGTCGGGGATGAGAATCTCCACCAAAGCCTGGTACATCCCATGGTCACAGTTACACATCCATTTCAGGATAGACTCATGTTTGCACAGAGTTATCAGCTTTGCTTTCGGAAGTCGACTTTCTATTTCACTCAGATTGCTGGTGTGAATAAATGTAGCAAATGAATAGATGGCAAATGAGGATAAAAAAGAAAATGGACTTTAAAAATAGTTTTAGTTTATCAAATATTACTGAGGTTAGAACTATACCACCATTGCACTGGCGCCATACGACTGGAAATAAATAACACTCCCCCAGAGCTGCCTACGCACGTTAATACTTTCTGACGGTATAAAAGGCAGATATGATACTAATTCCGTGAGGATGAAATAGCTCTACCGCAGTCCCCCAAATCAATAAAATGGGAGCTATAATACACACGCTGAAACCTCAAGAGAGCAGTTTGTGGTTTATTTCAATCTATTCGTTTAAGGTTATCAGGTAAGGTTCACAACTGGTATACATATTTCTCATTTATTACCTGTGACATCTACTCAGCCATGAAAATGAATTGGAAAAGCATATTGATTCTGACCTTGATTCAGTAATGGTAGTGCCGTCAGTTGGAGTAGAGGGAGAATAGCGCCAGAATGTTTGCCACAATTTTTCTATCAGGCTAAACTGAAGATTCACAACAACATCCAATATTGCCTAAGAAACAAAATGGTTATCGATATTATCTTATAGTATTTCTTATGGGGATGTGTGAGGAGCGTATGATGTAACAGAACTTAAATGGTAAAGATACCTTTGGGTTCTCATAAGATAACATGGTGAAACTGGACTAAATTGTGGCAATGGAAGTGGAGAAATGAAAGAGATTAGCTAGGGGGCAAAAGGAAAAAAAAAAACTCTTGAAAGATGAGGCAGGATATTTGTATTCCTCCCATAATGGTCTCATATCCCAGCCCCATTTTCAACTCTCTTTTTTCCCCAATGCCATGCTTGCTTGCTTCCTTTCCTCTTCATTTTCTTCTCTTACTTTTCTTCTATTCTTTTACCCACTGCCTCCTTCTACCTCCAGGGTTGCTGCCACTCTTCCTATTCTCAGACCAGGAAGGGCACAGAACATAGATTCAATTCAAATAAGTGCTCACTGGGCTAAGTGTGTCCACTGGCCATCGAAGGGGCCAGAATTGAAGGACGTGGAGGTTCCTGTGTGTGGAAGACAGAGTTAGGGTTACATAAGCTCTGTCTAAGGCTGCTGATCATGGGTTCTAGAGTGTTCCCAGCCAAGCAGAAGCCGGGCACACTCTATAGTCAGGCCGGCCTTCAGGTGATAGCACCTATCTGGGCAGGAAAAAGTACAGTAGGCACCTCTCTGGTCACGCAGTACCTCCCATTCAATCTCATCTCTGCATCTTCCCTTTAGAGAGCAGCTTTAAGACTATCCCCTTTTTTAAACTTCACCCCCTACTCCTCCTTAATTTTATCTCCTAAATCCATTTTCCAGCTGCATCAAGGACTTTTTTTGATGATGCTAAAATTTGCCACTTTCATTAACCTTTGATGATCATATTAGTTTCACCCTGCCACTGCAATTAGTTTGTAAATTTACCTTCAGATAAAAGCAGTCATAAAACCAAGGAATAACTTGTTGGTGCAAAGAGTGTGATTCTGTGATTATTTGGAGCATAAAAGACAGAAGTTGTCATTATAACGTGTTTGATGTCCTCAGCATTGAGAATGAGGACAGATAAAACAGCACAGTCAAGATCTTCAAAATTCACAGAAACTAAGAGAGGAGAGCGAGGCAATCGAGAGAGACAATCTGAGAATTTGGGGCAAAAAGAAGAAGCTGTGACGTCATAATTCCAAAGTGTGTGCTACCTCTGTAGACTGGTTTTATGCATGATACAGAGAATAACTGATGTTCTACACAAAAACAATGTGACCAATTCAAATACAAAGCAAAACCTGTTTGAGGCATGTTCTGGGAACTAGGAGGAAATGTTGCAAGTAGTTGGGTAATGAAAATGGAGGGAAGGGGAGAAATTTATCAACATGCTCCTCATCCTTTTATATCAGCAACAATTAAAATGCAAGTGGGAGCCCTGAAAGTAAAGGCATATAGATGTCTCTCCCTCAGACAAAAAGCACAACCTTCTCAAGAGGCAAATTATTACAGCTGCTTTCTCGACTGCATCTTAGGCACATTCCAAAAGACATCTATTAATGAGGCAACTACTAATATCTTATATAATACCTTACATATCTCTATCTATGAGATTGCTATAAGAACACTATGTTTGTGCTAAAAGAAAAAAAGTTACTGTTGCAGTAATATGTGTAGAAAATTATACTTGTTCCTTACCTAAAACTAGTGATACAAAATATCTTTGATAAACAAATTGTAAAAATTTCAAACAACAAGCAAAATAGGTATATTAATGTTTCTCTAAAACATAAACTGTAGGAAATATGATATAAAATAAAGCAAGTAAAGAATTCAGTGCATCTTAAATTTAGTATCTCTCCAAATTAAATAATCTCTAACTGTTTTGAAAAGGACATTCACATTAGCCTCCTGAGGCAGTTCTACAAATGAATCAAACATTTGTCATTTGTCCATCCACCCACCTTCAAATATGTTCAGACTAAAATGTATAGGCTAACATATTTTAAAATAATCCATATTCTAGTGGTTTAGGGTGAATGGCCATTTACAGGACTGGATATGAGACTCAGGCACCTATACTTCAAAAGTTTGGAAGTTGGACAGAAAAACAAATACGTATTAGAATTCTTCTGTTTCACATTTGCTGCTGTGCTTCATGAGAGAAGGCACAGACAGCACTGGTGACTGAAATAATGGGGATTATTCTGTAGATCGCCATTTCCCTTACAGATTACCGTATATGTCCCTATCTCTTCATATAGAGTATGCCTGCAAATTGATACGTTAATGGAAATTTTGTAATACAAAGAATATTTTCATCTTATTGGGGGACTTTTTCACTTAGAAAAATATTATTGTGCATTCTTTAATACTGTTAATAATCATGTTCTAACTTATATTTTGAGTATGAGAAACTTAAAAAAAAATCCAAATTATATTTGTTTAGGCTGGTTTGCTTAAAGCAAGGTTCGCCCAAACACAGAGAAATAAGAAACTGCTCAGAGAATCTTTCTATAAATTTTTATCGAATATACATGATATTCAGTAGAAAGAAAGAATTTTTTTTCTAGACACATAGGTATCATCCAGAAATTCTTTAATATTGGGAAAAGCACAGCAGTCAAAGAGAAACGAATATTAAGTTTCTTTCATCATTCCATTTCCAAGAAATGTTGGGAACAGACTGGCAGGATATGTTGAAGATCACTTTTGGCACATGGTTTGTTAATACAGAGAGAGCTTGCCCTTGGTTGTTAATAATTTAGCACCCTTGACAAGCACTCAAGATTTATTCAAGCAATTCTTATTTCTGGAGTAGGAAAAAACCTGTGAATGCTACGAGCTGAGACATCTCACAGCATACTGCATTGTCAGCAGTTAGGAGGACTGCTTGTGAAATCTAAAGGATTATCCTTCTACTCCTAAGTAGATCACAAATAGCCCTGGCATAAAGCTACTTAAATTCTAAACAGGCTCCTCTTTCAAAAGGAAAGGCACTTATGAAACCTCTTATTGCAATACATTATCCCCTTGGTACTAGGTGAGGGGCAGGCACATTAACAAGCTGGCCTGGGGAGGGAGAGTTCACCTCCTGGAGACAGTGTAGCCAATTCCGATGTGGGGTACTCAGAAAGGGAATAGGAGTAGGGGTGGAAAATACCAAGAGAAACCTTAATTAACCACAAAAACAAAACAAAACTGGAGCCTCAATGATCCCTGGAAAGAATACCCAAAGTGCTTTATTAAACATTTCTAGAAAATATTTTGCTACAAATACACATTTATGGTGTAAAATTGAAAATGTAAAATGAAAAATTAGGTCTCTTTCCTCTGAATCCCAGTCACCCAGTTTCCTTTACAAAGGCAACCATCATTAACATGTTGTGTGTGTGTGTGTGTGTGTGTGTGTGTATTCTTTTCACTCAAATGATATACACAGTTGTATCTTGTTTTTTCCTTTAAACATAAATCCTGAGCTTGTTCCATATTAGTGCATTTAGAGTTGCCTCTTCTTTTTAATGGCTGCATAATATTCTGCTCTATAGATTACACTATATTTTATTTATTCAGTGTCCTATTAGATATTGACGTTACAACCAATCTTTTGCATTGAAAACAATAATGCAATAAGTTTTCTTGTCCACTTATCTCTTCATCTGTATGTAAACATTTTTCTAGGATAAAATCCTAGAAGTAGAATTGCTGCATCAAAGGATGCATATTAGGATAAGCTAAGAAGGTGGAATGTAAAATTTATTCTCCCTTTCCTGCTTTCCTCACTTCTCCACTCTAAGACAAGAGGAAAAATTAACTTATTAGTGCACAAAGAAATATGAACTAACTTCATCTGTCTTCTAGGAATAACTCTGATTGTTTTGTTTTAGCAAGTTGTCTAGCAAAACTTAGCATGTGGTTGTGCTGTTTGAAAAGACTTACCTCACAGTGCTCTCGATAAAGACTCTGCAGTGACTTGATATCCTCAAAGGTAGTACCATCTGGCAGAGAAGAGATTTCAACTTCTCCAAACTCTGGAAGTGCTCGAGATGCATCTGTTACCATGACAACACAACAGAAAAAAGCTTTGTAGATGGTGCCAATTACAGATTAATGAAGGAAAATTTAAGAAGACTAAAAAGAAAAAAAATTTTAAGTCAGAGGTCCACAGAGCAAGGATTTTTGATATTAGTATTTGCAAGCAAAACTTGGCAACATCATCAGCACAATAGAGGGAACACAACATTTTTGAAAAAACTAAAATTTCACTATGACTATACTGGAAATAACATATCACAGTGTCTCTTAATATAGAGCCCCTATTAAAAGAAACATATATTAATATCTTAAGCTGGCCAGTACCAATTTTAGCTACTTTTACTATTGTTACTTAAGTATGTAAAAAATAAATCTAGCCTTAAACTCATTATGCTCATACGTCTTATATAATCATAAAGCACAAGCGCTACAAAAGAAATACAAAGAAAACTGCAAAAATAACATTAAACTTAACAACATTAATGATGTGATGGATGATGCTGTTGTCCTTTAAGTAAATTACCTCTCACAACATGAATATGGTATTGACTACTGAGGCAGGATCTTTTGGGTTTGACAGGCCTATAACCAACACATACTTCTGGTGTTGGTTCTCCCATTACTCTTCAACATTCAAATGAGCTGTGAAACTTTCCTCCTCACAGAGCACTGGGACATCATTTAGCCTTCCCTTGGGATGAAGGCGTAATTTACATAGTAAATCTCTCTCTGTTCTTTTCTCATTAGCTTGGGACAATTAATGCAATACACTTTGGTGCCTGCCTTATCATAAATTCAAATACAAATGTGGAAACTAAAACTGCAGAACAGTATTCCTTCTAGTCTTCTAGGTAATCCACAGTAAGATTTTTTTTTTTAAGATTATAATTGAAATAAAAACATAAAATAAAATAAAATATTTTCTTCTTGAGAGCTCAAACATCCACAAAAAAATACCTGAGAACTTTACTTTGGGAAATGCTGCCATAATATTAAACTTCAGTAGCTACTCCAACTTGAGAGTCCATTCTAGTTGTCTTTGTCAGAAAGTACACATAGACACATATACACACACACAGACACATACACACACGCACTCTCTGATAGCTTCCACTTAGCTTGATCTGTTTTACGGAAACTATGCATGCTCACCTCTAGAAGAGTTGTCAATTAAAGTGCCACTTTTGCACCTTTGCCTATGACAGGAATACATAAACTGTTCAAGTTCTACTTCCTAACTCTTTAAATAAAAAGAAACATGTATACGGTCTAGAAAATTACAAAAAAACATAGGAAGTACTGTGATCAACTTAAAATAATCAATTACTTTTTAAAGTTTATAATATATTTTTTTCTAATCTGAGACTGTTACGCATATGTCACTTTATACACAGAAAACAGGAATCCTTTTTGGCACTTCCGTTACTACTGAAAGTAAACACAACACAATTTTGATCACAAAAGCCCAATTAATACAAATTCTGGAAAACAATTTCACAGCAATAAGCCTTTAATTTATATACATTTAAAAGTCCTACATAGCTCATGATTTTTAAAAATAAGCTATAGTGAACATGAGAAAATATAAATGAACTAGAAATATCATATGATGTGCATAATTTCAGCACACAAAAAAGGTCTTTCTATGTAATTAACATCTATAATAGACATCGCACTTGGAGAAGACACTACTATTGTTCTCTTGTTTGCAAAATCCTAATAGCAACTAATATGCATTACACCTTAACATACCTAAAAACTGTTGATGATGTTGACTTTGGGCAATTACAGTTTGCTCAACAGATGTGCCTGTCTGTTGACCACTTCCTGTGAAACCATCTGCAACCCCATCCACTTTCTGCATAGGCTTGTACCTAAAAATATTAGATGGGAAAAAACAAATAAACCAAATTATTCCTTGCTTTTTAGTACTACACAAAACTCCCAAGGCATTCAATTTTATTCTATCTTCTTTAATGTCTCATGATAGTTGTAGGCTTTTTTCTCCTTGACAGTCTCATAAAGCTAGAATGAAGAAATTTTTTTCAATTGTGAAAAGAATAAAAGAGAGATGGGCTAGGAAAAGGACTCATTTTTGAAAATTCGTAAATTTATCTAAGAATAAAAGTGTTATGAGGTATTTCTTTGGACAGCAGTGGCAAAGATGTCCACGATAATAGTTTTTTTTTTCATAATTATAGTTTTAATACACAATTTGAATATAACTTTTAATGGCCAATGGATCAAGGGAGAAACATTTTAAATACGTAGGGACTTTAATCTGAACTAAGATCTAGGAGCTAGGGCCTGAGAAATGTTGATGAATGGCTTCCAATTAATAGCTCTAAAATATGAATCAGCCTACAAACTCTACAATACTGTTTTTCTTATCTCCTTAAACTTCCCATGCATCTCAACACATTCATCTCCCTTGAATCCTCTCCACATCTGCAAACACAAAGAACCAAAGCATCAACTTGCAGCAAAATACATGCAAGAATCCATCACAAACCTAGTACCAGATTAAAAAAAAAAAATCAAAGTCAGCTACAGTTACATCTTTATGTTTAGGTCTAGTCATGCAAACTTATGGATTTTCCATACTGCTAACACAGAGAAAATATGCTTCAGCAGCATGGGAAAGGAGGAAAGACTACTTGGGAGAGAAATACCACATATGGGAAAAACGCCCAGGCAACCCTCCTAGGATAAGCAAATACAAAGTAGGAAGGAAATAAGCAGCAACTATAATTTTTTCTAAGATTTAATTTACTTTTCTTTATTATAGAAATTTAGAAAAACAGAAAAACTAAGAAATTAAAATCTGCAATAAGCTTATGTCCTGGAGATAACATCATTCATTTTATGCTGTTTGTCCTATTTCCCTTATTTCTAATTATATTTATAAAAAAATCCACCTAATATTCTCAAGATTCAGACACTGGATTCTTCCATTAGTACCAGAAGGCAACTGGATCATTAATGTGAAATTATTGTGATTAACAATGTCCCTAATACATGAACAAGATATACTCAAAGATGCCTGCATTCTGATAACAGATATAAAATGAATGGAGCTGGTGAAACATCACACAAACTAATGCTCCGGTTGCCTTAAGGAAGGATTCGATCTTAAATGTTATTAATTACAACCCAAATAAATGAAACTTCAAAGAAAATACCAAAGTCATTCATAACGACATTTACATTTATTTCTTATATGTCAGTATCTCACACAGAACTGTGAAAAGCAAAAATAAAGTCAGAAGATGAACAGGGTGAAAAAGGCTACAACACATTTCATCCTTGTTATCATTTTAGCAATGACCCCACATCTCCAAAATGTTGGTTGTTATTTTCTAATGATATAAAAGAACTCAAGCCTATTCTTTTATTTAATGGAAAAACCATCTAAAAGTACTTTTCAACTTGGGCCATACCAAGAAATGAAAGAAGGCCTAGTATTTGTTAGAAGCACCGTTTATGAAAATTAAATATTTTTCTCATATAATTTCCTCCTTAAAGAATCATCTTAGCAAGGCAAAAAAAAAAAAAAAAAAAAAGAAAG